GCTGCGGCTTGCTCGTGTCGGTCGCTCACTCACCCGTCGCTTCTGTGTCACCATTGCCTAAGTCACCCCGCACTCCCGTGTCTTCGTCACATGTCCCAGCACGGTCTTGTCTTAGGTCTCCCTGCGTTGCTCCGTGCCCTCCCTCCCTCTCTCGCGCCTTCGTGTACGCCTTGCATTGAGGGCCGGCTGCGCAGTGCTACTCACTCCTCCTTGTTTCCCCCCACCACTGTGCCACTTCAGACCTTGCACCTGGACGTCTAGGGCCCAGCTCCAGTCCCTGGGCCGCATCGCGAGCGCTACTTTCAGGTTCTCGTAGATGACTACTCATGCTACACCACAATGTTTCCCCTAGAGCGGAAGGCCAACGTGCCTGACGTTCTTATCTCGTGGCTTGTAGCTGCTCGAGTCCACCGCGGCCAGCCAGTGCTTCGTTTCCACTCTGACCGTGGCAGTGAGTTTGCCTCTGGTTGGCTTGGCCAATTCTGTCTCACGGAGGGCATCATCTAGTCGTACACACTGCCAGACTCCCCACCGGAGAATGAGGTAGCTGAGTGACGCATCGGTTTGGTCATGGAGGTGGCTCGTACCTCCATGATTCAAGCCGGTACTCACATCCGCGAATCTCGCGCGGACAAGGTCACCGTTCGCACCGTCCCTTGTGTCTTCCTTGGTTTCCCTCTAGACGCCTCTATCTGGCACTTCTACCACCCGTAGTCTCACCGTTTCTTTCACTCACGTAATGTTACTTTTGACAAGTCTGTCTCCTTCTACACCCGCTTCCCCCACCGAGGTCTCCCGGTTAACCCGCCCCTGTTCCTTGTCCCCACTCCTTAGATAGCTCCCGCTCCCCGTCCTGCCCCGTCTGGTGTGTCTCACGTCACTCCTCTTAATTCGGTTGGCCCGGAGGAGGAGTCTGCTGACACCGAGGGCCCTGAGGCGCAGGGTGAGCCACCTGTTTCTGCGGTGCCTTCACCCTCGTCCCCAGCGCCTCCTCCGCTGCTGCCGCAGCTGCCGTCGCAGCAGCAGCAGCAGCCGCCGCAGTAGTTGGGGTCCTTGGGCTCTGGGGGTGTTAGCGCTGGGGATGCTGACTCTAAGGAGGGTTCTAGTTTAGGGGGTGCTAGTTCTAGGGGTGCTAGTTCTAGGGGTGCTAGTCCTGGGGTGCTGGTCCTGGGGTTGTTGTCGTGGTGACTCCTGGAGGTAGCCGTTGTATGGGCGCGGAGCAGCAGCAGCCTTCGCCGGTGTCCACCCTTCACCTCCTCACTCTTCCCTCTCCTGACCACCCGTCTGCGCCTCCCCAGTGCCGCCTTGTCCTCCAGTTTACGGCCCTGTGTTCCCTCTGCCGGACTCGCCCCCGGCTCGTTTCCCCCCTCGTTATCCTCGTGTGTCTCCTCCCTTGACTCCTGACCCCATAGTCCCCTCTCGTTGGTGGTCTCACCGTCCCTCTCGTGCTTGTCCCGTCTCTTATGCCCCGAGTGTCCACCCTATGCCTCTCCGTTCTCACGCGTCTTTTGCTTCCCCTGCTCCTGTCCCGTTGCCTCCTCAGTCGTCCCTCCTTGTCTCCTCGCCTCCTCTTTCTTACTTTCTCCGTGCTGCTCGCCCTCTGGTTCCTCGTGTCCTTGCCTCTCTTGTTACCGACCCGTCCGTTCCTATCTCCAGTGTCTCGGCTCTTGTCGCTGCCGTCGCTGACTTTGCCTCTACCCCCCACCTTGACTACGCCACTACTCTGGTCTCTGACCATGCCCATCCTCCGTCCGCCGGGGGTGCACCTGCCCTTAGCAGTGATGTCCAAGTGGACCGATAGTAGGAGCTAACTTTCCTGTTTGAGACCTCTCCTCATCTCTGCTCCATGCTGCTAGCCCCTGAGGGTGACCCAAGCGCTCTTGATATCCTGACCCCTCGCACCTACGCTGAGGCGACTTCGGGACCTTGAGCCTCTTAGTGGATAGCTGCCATGGACGTAGTGATGGCATCTTGGAGATCCACTGGCACGTATGTCGACGCAGTTCCCCCACCTGGGGCGAACACAGTGAATGACCGGTGGCTCTTCAACGGGAAGCGCCCTTATAGAGACCCGCCGGTGTTCAAGGCGCGCTACATTTCTAGAGGCTTCAATCAGCGAGAGGGGGTGGACTTCTTCAAGACCTTTGCCCCGACCCCGAAGATGACCACCCTTCGGGCGCTGCTTCATGTAGTAGCACAACACGACTATGAGCTCCACTCACTTGACTTCTCTACAGCGTTCCTCCAGGGTAGTCTGCACGAGCAGATCTACCTGCGCCATCCACAAGGCTTCTCCGGCTCTTTCCTTCCTTGGAGTGAGTGGTTCCTTCGGCGTCCATCCTACGGTCTGCGGTAGGCGCCTCGTAAGCGGCACGACACACTGCGAGCCACTCTAGCAGACCTCCAGTTCTTTCTGTCCTCTACTGACCTGTCTCTTTTCATTCACTTAGGCCAGACTCCGTTCTACATCCCAGTCTATGTAGACGACCTGGTCTTCGCTACAGCTGACACAAACGTGCTGGCCTCAGTGAAGGCCGAGCTACTGAGGAGACACACATGCACTGACATAGGAGAGTTGCGCCACTACCTTTGTCTGTAGATCTCCCAGGACAAAGTGGCGCTCACCATCACTCTCACACAGTCACACTTGGTGCGTCAGGTCCTTAAGAGGTTCGGCCTTCAGTTCTCCTCCGCACAGCCCACCCCTCTACCAGTGGATGACAGACTCTCGGATCCAGTCCCTGACGAGCCGGTCAAGCCTAGTGGTTAGTACGCAGAGCTTGTGGGCTGCCTCATGTACCTGATGACTTGCACTCGTCCAGATCTCGCATTCCCTCTTAGTATCCTTGCACGCTTTGTTGGGACTAGCAAGCACCGACCTCAGCACTTGTCGGCTGCCAAGAGTGCGTTGCAATATCTCGCAAGTACATCAGGCATGAGGCTAGTGATGGGAGGACGCAGACCAACAGTTCTTACAGGACACACAGATGCTTCTTGCACGGAAGACGCTGAGATGCTCAGGTCCACCCAGGGCTACTGCTTTAGCCTTAGTGTAGGCTCTATCTCGTGGAGGTCCATCCGCTCGTCGTCTGTTGCACAGTTCTGCTGTGAGGCTGAGATCTACGCTGGTGCCATGACGGCACAGGAGCTCCGCTGGCTGACGCTCCTGCTCACTCACTTAGGTGAGCGGACTAGCTCTGCCCTGGTCCTGTACGCTGACAACATGGCCATGATCCTTTGGTGTTAGGAGCCTCGACTAGAGGGCAGAGCGAGCACATCCAACTGTGGTACTTCCTCCTGCACGAGCTACAGCAGCGCGGCCAGGCACGTGTAGTACACTTAGCCTCCAGTGCCAATACAGTTGATATCTTTACCAATGCGCTTGTGCTTAAAGAACATCAGAGGCACTGTATATAGCATGGCCTAGTTCCAGTAGCTCCTTACTTGTTAGGACCCTGACTTGTATACTACTCCTTTTATTTTCTTGAATGGCCTTGTGGCTTTTGTCTTAGTGGCTGGACTAGAAGTGCTGCCCTGAGTTACTCTTGTTGAGTTACTACTCTTGCTGGTTGGTCTTCGGATCCCTACCTCAGAAGTTGGACTAGTAGTGCCGCCCTGAGTTACTCTTGTTGAGTTAGTACTCTTGCTGATTGGTCTTCGGATCCCTACCTCGGAGGTTGGACTAGCATGTCAGAGGCGGCGACGTCGACAGCGAGGGCAGCGGCTGCAACGGCGGCGACGGCAGCAGCGTCGACAGCGGCGGCGGCGTGGCCAGCAGCACCAGCTGTGGCGGCGGCGGCCTCGACAACAGCTGCGGCGGCGGCGGAGCTCGCAGCACTCAGTGGCATTGCCAAGCTTCGCGGCGGTGGGAAGGCCGGTATGAGTCAGCTGTCAGCTGCGGCGACGAAGAGGGGACGCTGAGAAAGGGGGAGGGGACGCAGTAAAACCTACCAAGCCTACAATTAGATATATATATATATATAATATATATATATATATAATTTAACATAGTAGTGCTGCCCTGAGCTGCGTGTCTCTTGCTAGGCACTGCCCCATCTAGCCTAGGGGGTGTGTTAACTTATACCGAGCTATAAGCTAGACGGGTTCGTGCTCTTAGAGAGTACAACACCCAACCATATAGTTCACTTGTATCCCTTGCTTGAGTTCACTTCATTGTCAGAATATGCTAGTTAGGGGGAGAAGCCATGGAATGTCGAGAGAAGAGAGAGTTAGGACTAGAAGAGAAGGAGATACAAGAAGGGGGTTTGTCCCCTCTACAGTAGGATGTTGTAAGTAGCACAATTGCCAAGCCTACAATTCTATAAAGTATATAATTTAACACACCCCCTAGACTTGGTAGTGGCAAGCCAATCCCACCCCAAGCACCCCATTTCCTTGCACCTGTTAGGATTAAGGACGGAGTCTAGGTGAACTTAGGAGCTAGAATAACTCAAAATATAAATCCGAAATTCTGGACAGAAAAGTCGTCTTCACAAGAAACGACGTTGACGAAACACTAGCCGTTGGAATGTCGCGAAACTTGGATATGTTGTAGCTCTTAATCTCAGCTACCGTTCCCAATTTGAATCATGTTGATTGATGAAGTATTCGCGACGCTATGGCTTTCGACGCATTAGGGGGTAAGCTGTAGGAGGAGAACTTAACTCAATCTCAAAGGTTCAATCAAAGTTCAAGAATCTTACAAGGAATTAGAAGGAGCAAGAGAAAGGTTGGGATAGAAGAGAGGGATGAGAGGGAAGGTCCCAAGAGAGTTCCCAACCAAGGAAACCCCATAAGCACAAAGATTCCCTCCCTATAGGAACCTCAACTTTGACCTTTGTCCCTTCCCAACCAATCCATCCAAGTTGGCCACCCTTGCCAACCTAGCTTGGTTGTTCCCAACCTATTTGCAGCTGTTACAGTAGAGTGACAAGTTTCCCCAACCCCAAAGGTCCCAACTCCATATAAAGTCACCCCACAACTTCACTTAGTAACCGCCGCAATTGTAACGCAAGCTCATGAACTTTGAATCTTCATAGCTTTCGCGTTCTTGCTCCGATTGAAGCGATTCTTGTTGCGTCGGAAAGATCTTCTCAAGATCTATCATCACAAGAACCTGCTCAAACAAGAAATAACACATAACACATTCCCAAACTCCAGAACACACACCACACAAATGCTTGCACATTCAAATCACACATGCAAGTTGAAAACATGGGATGGGAGGCAGATAGAATGTGATAGCATATGATGACATCACACACCATACCACATCTCAAGCATGCATACTCAATGCACACTCATCCCAGCAAGCTTCATGCCCTTCCAATGATCCGCCTCCGCCAGACGCTTAGTGAAAATATCTGCTGCCTGCTGATGGGTCTTCACTATCTCCAGCCGCACCTCCTTATCAAGGAGTCTCCTCACCCAGTGCCACTTAGGCCTTATGTGTTTTGTCAGCCCATGCAGACAAGCATTCTTGGCGAGCTTCACAGCAGACTCATTGTCACAGAACACAACTGTCGGCTCCTCCTGACCAACTCCCAACTCCTCTAACAAGCGCCTCAGCCACACCACTTCCTTGGCCCCATGGTGTAAGGCCATGTACTCAGTCTCACATGAGGACAATCCCACCTCATTCTGCTTCTTGCTGCGCCAGCTCACAGCACCACCTCCTAGCAAGCACACATAACCCCCAATGCTGGTGCCATCCGCTTTCACTGAGTTGAAGCTAGCGTCAGTATAGCAACTCAAGAGCATCTCTCCACTCTTCACATCTGCAGCACCTCTTTGCAACCGCTGCCTCACTCCACTATACTCCAATCCCACTGATGCGGTAGCGCTCACATAGCGAACCAACCTCTTGGCCGCTCCAGCTGCTCATGACTAGGGCGTGAGACCACACTAGCCAATCGTGATGTAGCAAATGCAATGTCAGGCCGTGTATGATTTGCAGCATAATTCAGCGACCCAACCATCGAATGAAACAGCTTCCTGTCACTATCACCCACTACCTCCTCATCAGCACATGGCTCCACAGTGAACCCCGAAGGTAGTGGTGTTGCTGGCTTTCCCCCATCTTGCAGCCCATACTTCTCAGCCAGCCCCTCACAGTACTTCCTCTGGTGCAACCTCAGCACACCCTTTTCCACATCTCTCTCCACATGCATCCCCAAGTAGTACTTCACCTCACCCATCTTGGAACACTTGAACTGCATCTCCAGCATCTGCTCTGCGCTGTCCAGCAAAGCAGTTGATGCAGAAAAGAGAAGGATATCATCCACGTACACCAAGAGCATGAGGATTTCATCCTTCTCCTGCAGCAGGAACAGGCTGGGGTCACACTCACTCTTCTTGAAACCCCCAGCCACCAGCGCCTCCTCCAACTTGTGATACCATGCACGAGGCGCCTGCTTAAGGCCATAGATTGCCTTCTTCAGCCTGCAGACCCTGCCGCTCCCATCATCCAGCCCCTCTGGCTGCTTCATGTACACCTCCTCCAGAATGATCCCATTCAGAAAGGCAGTCACAATGTCCATCTGCCGTATCTTCCATCCCAGGAGTGCAGCTATCGCCAACAGCACCCTCAGTGTTGTTCCTTTCCCCACAGGAGCAAACACCTCATCATAGTCCTTCCCCTTTGTCTGCTGAAACCCCCGTGCCACAAGCCTAGACTTGTAGCGGATCAGCTCCCCTTCAGGTCCATACTTGTGCCTGTAGATCATCTTGGAAGTGATTGCCTTCTTCCCAGGAGGCAAGTCACACAGGTCCCATGTCTCGTTTTCAATCAGGGACCCGAACTCCTCATCCTCACTCGCCTTCCACTTCTCCCCATTTGGTCCATTCAAGGCCTCCTCTCGAGTCTTGGGCTCAGGGATTGGTGCCCAGTAGCAGTGAGCGATCTCATCTTCCTCAATCTGCTCAACCACACTCCCAGCCTGCACCACATTTGGCTTGCCTCTTCCCCCATAGGTCAGCCTCACAGGAGGGCGCACATCCCTCCTAGGTCGCTCAGGCGGGTGTGGAACTCGAGGTGGAGACTCATGTTGCTGCTGCTGCTCCACTTCAGCTGCTCCCCCTTCTTCAGTCACCCCAGACATCTCCTCCTCAGACACTGCAACCTCCACCTGCCTTGAAGGCTGCTGCAACTCATCTGCCTCCACAATGAGTGGTGTAGATGGAAGCTTCTGTTGCTGCTGCTTCCATTCCTTGTAGTACAGGGACTCAAGAAACTTCACATCCCTTGACACTGTCAACTTCTGGGTGGTCAAGTCCCATAGCAACCATGCTTTGTGATCCTTTGCAATCCCCAAGTGCACACCCCATCTTCCAGAAGCCTCCAACTTCCCCCTTTTCTCCTTAGGCACATGAAACACTACCATGCACCCAAATGCCCTCAGCATATTCACAGCTGGAGCACTCCCATACCACTTGGTATATGGGATCCACTCCTTATCCCCAACTGTAGCCAGCACCCTATTCTTCACAAGGGCGACCTGCCTCAGTGCAGACACCCAAAATGGATCAGGCAGCCCTGCACGCCCAAGGAGAGTGCGTGCCCCCTCCTGCAGGGTCCTGTTGAACCTCTCAGCCACGCCATTCTGCTGCGGATTGTAGGGCACTGTCAGTTGATGCTGGATCCCCTTCCTCTTCAACTCCCCCTCAAAATCAGCTCCAATGAACTCCCCACCATTGTCACTACGGATCACCTTCACCTTGTGTCCGCATTCCCTCTGAGCTCTAGGCATCCACTCCTTAAGGACAGCCGCTGCCACCTCCCCCTTGCTCTTCAAAGGGTAAACCCACACTGCCCGAGTGTGGTCATCCACAATTGTCAAGAAATAGCGGCTGCCTGAGAGGGAAGGGGCTCTTGTGGGCCCCACCACATCCATGTGCACAAGTGCAAGTGGGGTCTTGGCTGGTCCTGTAGTGCTGTTGAAAGGGAACTTGGAGAACTTGGTCTCCAAGCATGTAGGGCAGCTCCCAATCTCCTTCACTTCCCCTTTCACCTCCAAGCCCTTCAGGCTCCCATTCTTCACCAACTTCTGCAGCATAGGGAAGTTCACATGACACAACCTCTCATGCCATGTCTCCCAATCGGCCTCTCCACTCCTTGATGAAGCCTTAGCCCATGCCGCACTCGCATCCACACCAGCAAGCACCTCACCATGTGTCTGCTGCTTCTGCACTTTCTTGACTGCTTCCAGGACCCCATCAGTTGGTGCAGTTGCATCTCCTCCTGCTGTTGCCTTTGCCGCTGCTGCCGTTGCTGCTGTTGGAGTCTTCCCATTCCAAGGGATGATGGGCAGCTGCCACAGGTCCTTGATGCAGCTGGTCTCCTCTTCTAGACTCCACAGCACCTTCTTCCCAAGCTTAGCACGGCAGCTGGTTGGTCCAAAGGTCACTTCGGCCTTACTTTTCTGCAGTCGCCGCACAGAGAGAAGGTTAGCAGACAAACCTTCCACTAGCAGAACATTCCCAAGCCCCACAAGCTCCCCATTAGCTCCCTTAACCTTGGCATACCCAACACCAATCACAGGGAGCAAAGCACCTGACGCTGCTGCCACATACTTGATCTTCCCAGGGGGTTTTACCTCATCAAGCAAATCTGCCCGTGGAGTCATGTGACTGGTGCAACCCGAATCAATCACCCAGTGCGTGATAGGGTGCATCACAACCTTTCCCACAGATCCCACATCACCCTCATGCCCATGCACATCCTCAACCATAAGAAACAAACCAGGATAGGCATTACCTTGTGCACCTTTACCTTGTGCACCTAAGCCTTGCACAGCGCCACCTTGTGCGCGTTCACCACTGGGCGGCTTCATGCCTGGAGGTGACCATCCCTCCGGCCTGCTGAAGCACTTGAACCAAGGATGCCCGACCTTCTTGCAGTACCAGCAGGTGCCCTCCATTCTGGTACTCCCCCTGCCACTGGAGCTCCCATGCCCCTCATAATAGCCACCTCGGCCTCTACCTCTGCCAAAGCTTCTCCCACGGCCTCGGCCTCTCCAACCCCCTCTTCCTCTGCCGCGCCCTGCAGCTCCATACCCCTCAGCAGTCTTAGTGGCAGCACCGCCTCCCACATGGCGTCTGCGGAAGTCCTCCTGCAGAATCTGCTGCCTTAGCCACTCAGGTGTCCATTGATCTTGCTGAGAGTTGAGGGTGGGGATGAGGTTGTCCCAAGAGTTGTCCAACACCGAGATGATCTTGGTGCACTGCTGCAGCTGAGATACACTGCTGCCCGCTGCTGCCATCCTTGCATAGGTGTCCTTGATCTTGTCAAGGACCGGCTTCACATCATCCCCTGGTCGCATGGAGATGGCAGCAAGTTCCTTCTCGAGCACGATCACCATTGGGAGAGTGTTGGGCTGAATCACATCACGTAGTAGTTTCCACGCCCTTGGACCCGAATCATCCGCTTCCACAAGATCCTTGATGTGCTCGAACATCTCCTTGTTGACCGATTGAAGGATGAGGTCGAAAAGCACCGCGCTTTTCTCAATCCACCGTTCACGTGCTTCGCCTTCTTCCGGCATCTTCTCTTCCCCAACAGCAATCTTCAGTAGCTTGTAGCGTTTGAAGGCACTCTTCATCCGTCCGCTCCATTCCTCATAGTTGGAGCCATCCAAAGCTTCAACTTTTGATGGCGGCGGCTCACTTGCCTTCTCAGCTACAGCTCCTCTTCCATTAGCATCTCCTCCTCTCTCATTCATCTTCTCCTTGAGAAATGACGAATTTCAGCTCCCCTTTGCTGTCCACACTCAGCTCCCTCGATATTTTCACAAGTATCGGCGTCCACGAAATTTCGGCAGAGTTTCCCCTTAGCGGAAGACACATCCAACCTTTAGAACACCACTTAGGCACACCCACAGGCCATGGTGGGTCTAGAAGGGTCTTGACACTTCTGTAGACTCCTCTCAATGTCCTTAATATCGCTCTGATACCACTTGTTAGGATTAAGGACGGAGTCTAGGTGAACTTAGGAGCTAGAATAACTCAAAATATAAATCCGAAATTCTGGACAGAAATGTCGTCTTCACAAGAAACGACGTTGACGAAACACTAGCCGTTGGAATGTCGCGAAACTTGGATATGTTGTAGCTCTTAATCTCAGCTACCGTTCCCAATTTGAATCATGTTGATTGATGAAGTATTCGCGACGCTATGGCTTTCGACGCATTAGGGGGTAAGCTGTAGGAGGAGAACTTTACTCAATCTCAAAGGTTCAATCAAAGTTCAAGAATCTTACAAGGAATTAGAAGGAGCAAGAGAAAGGTTGGGATAGAAAAGAGGGATGAGAGGGAAGGTCCCAAGAGAGTCCCCAACCAAGGAAACCCCATAAGCACAAAGATTCCCTCCATATAGGAACCTCAACTTTGACCTTTGTCCCTTCCCAACCAATCCATCCAAGTTGGCCACCCTTGCCAACCTAGCTTGGTTGTTCCCAACCTATTTGCAGCTGTTACAGTAGAGTGACAAGTTTCCCCAACCCCAAAGGTCCCAACTCCATATAAAGTCACCCCACAACTTCACTTAGTAACCGCCGCAATTGTAACGCAAGCTCATGAACTTTGAATCTTCATAGCTTTCGCGTTCTTGCTCCGATTGAAGCGATTCTTGTTGCGTCGGAAAGATCTTCTCAAGATCTATCATCACAAGAACCTGCTCAAACAAGAAATAACACATAACACATTCCCAAACTCCAGAACACACACCACACAAATGCTTGCACATTCAAACCACACATGCAAGTTGAAAACATGGGATGGGAGGCAGACAGAATGTGATAGCATATGATGACATCACACAACAGCACCCCCATTCCCTGCAGCAGCAGTGGCGCCGACCAGCCGGTCGACCCCTCGGGGATCGAGGTGGCGACGACGACTGCGGGTCGCACTGGCGGCGGCGGCGGCAGGGCGTGCAGCACCTGCGGCGGCGGCGGCGTCGAGGCATCTGGCGACGGCGGCCGTGGCACCCGAGGCAACGGCGGCGTGGCTCAACCTGAGACGCCGAAGGGGAGGACGGCACGAGGTCGCCAGCAGCTGCGGCGGAGAGGAAGGGAAAGACAGAGGAGGGGAAGGGGGAAGGGGTGGGGGGCGGATCGTCAGCGCAACGCCATGGCTGGCCTGGCGCTGCCGCTGCCGATCGTGCGCTGGTGCGTCGACGCCGCCGCGACAACACGACGACGCCGCTACGGCTGGACGTCGACGCCACGACAGCACGACGAGGGTGCCACGGCAGTAGCGTCGAGACCGCCGCGGCAGCACGACACGGCCGGCGGCACGACGACGCCGCCACAGCAGCACGACGCGACTGCCATGGCAGCGAGAGAGAGAGAGAGAGAGAGAGAGAGAGAGAGAGAGAGAGAGAGAGAGAGAGAGAGAGAGAGAGAGAGAGAGAGAGAGAGAGAGAGAGAGAGAGAGAGAGAGAGAGAGAGGAAGAGTGCGCGGCGGAAGCGTGGGAAGTAGGTCCAACAGGTTGAACCTGCTCTGTTACCATGTCAGAATAAGGCTAGGGGGAGAAGCCATGGAATAGCATGCGGTTGAGGAAGGAGAAATGTCGAGAGAAGAGAGAGTTAGGACTAGAAGAGAAGGAGATACAAGAAGGGGGTTTGTCCCCTCTACAATAGGATGCAGTAATTAACACAACTACCAAGCCTACAAGTATATATAAGTTATAATTTAACATTCATTACTCTAACAGTGATGAATGCAAACTATTTTATGGAATTCAAAAATTGTGTTATTTAGTCACATACTAGCGCTGGGGAAGCGATAGATGGATTGTGTGTGTGTGTGTGTGTGTGTTTTTTTTTTTTTTTTTTTTTTTTTTCGTAAGCAAAATAAAAGAATACAAGAAATGGTGGGAAGTAAATGATCGACATTTGTTTTCTATTACCTCTAGGCTGTTTGTAATTTGTGCGTCAACTAAAAATATTGTTTGTGTACATGTTTTCAATCTTTAGATTCCATCAAAAGCAAAACTATGTCTACTAAGTATACATTGATTGTCATAGTCACAAAGTGTGCACGGAAAATTAGTTGATACTTCCATAGTCTTTGTGGGTTTTTTTTCGTAAGCAAAAAAAAAAAGAATACAAGATATGGTGGGAAAAAAATGACCGACATTTGTTTTCGATCACCCGTAGGCTGTTTGTAATTTGTGCGTCAACTAAAAGTACTGTTTGTGTACAATTTTCTTTAGATTCCATCAAAAGCAAGACAATGTCTACTAAGTATACCTTGAGTGTCATAGTTACAAAGTGTGCACAGAAAAGTACTTGATACTTCCAAAGTTAGGATGAAAATAAAATTTGTCCGATCGATAGCAATAGGTTGCGTTGCAACCCCAAAAATCTTGAAACACACAATGGGTTCAAATAGCAAGTACAATTTTGGCTCTCTCCTGTTGACGCTCGGCAGTTCTCAATTGGATCGCCCCTCGCGAGATATCGCGAATGTCGTTGGGCGAACCTTATTATTCAAAAAAATGTGACACCCTAATTTCATGATGCATTTTTGGTCGTTTGTTCGTTTGGCGTCGACACTCGACACAAACAATCGCACATCCGACGCAGTGCTTGACATTCCGCCAACTTCGAAATACTCTCTTTCTATTCCGTCAATTTGCCCTACGGCACTGTGACACCAACGGATGACAACACGTAGGCTGCGTTCTGCAGGCAAAAAATGAAAGTGCAGATTACATCAGAGCACCTTCCGAAAACGCGAAATTTTGCTTCGGGTCGAGGGTCAGCCGGCAAAATTTCCCCCAAACCTGGCACAATGTACCCGAACATAGTTACATCGACATGCCTGCAGAACAGGTCCATCTACAAATGACATCTACGCCAGGGAAACACCCCACCTCGCTTCCCTCCCTGGCAAATCTGACGCAACCTTGACGCAACGCTGACGTTTTCTCAATCGCGGAGTCCACCTTGCGTGTGGCGTTACATCAGCCGCAAGGGTGTACTCAGTCTCCACACCCCAAAAATACAACCGCCACCACTTTACCCCACCTCGCGAACTTGGGTCTGCCCTGCAAAAAACCAGCAGCTGAACAAACCCATCACCAAAGAGAGTCGTATCACCTCTAAGAGCACCACTCTTTCGACCTACTCCATCTCATACCCTAGGTTATTTTTTCATCATTTTGCCCCGGAATATTTCTCTAAAAATACTGCTGTAGCGTGCAAAAACAAAGAGGGACCGCACGTCGCGTTCGTTTTATAACCATAGCGCACAACTGGCTTGCATTTTGATGTGCTGGCACTCCATTCACGAATCCGTGTCTCGCGAGCCGTTTCGTGCTTTCGCTCCATGTTTGGTGTTTTTTTTTTTTTTTTTTTTTTTTTTTTTTGGGTTGCGGAGCAACCTATTGCAATCGACCGGGCTGGTTTTTTTTTCAAGTTTGTGAAATAAAAATTAAATGCTTTTTGTGATGGAAATAAAACATTTTATGTATAATAAAGTCTCATCATGAAATGCTCCGCAACCCTAAGACGATCTCGTCGCCTCTTGTTTTTACTCCTGCCCACGAGCATTGCTTTGGGCAAGCAAAATGTGTTGGGACGTCAGCTCAGATGTGTGCTATTTTTCGACGAACACTGACACTCCCTCAACATTTGTGGTTACATGATGAGGACGTCACTTGTTATGATATAGGAAGTGTCAATGAACTATAACGTGAGAATACAAGGTCGCTATTGCAATGAAGGCACGAGGTTATATAGGGGTTGGCGTGCTAGAGCGATAACCTCGGAACGTGGGTAGGTTCGGCAATGTGGCGACAGTGCCGGACACGACTCGGGAAAGGGTTGGGCCGATAAATGAGGCCGAACGTGACGAGTCGAGGAGTTCGGGTGTACGCGCTAGCGTATGACTCAGTAAGGAATGGAAATTCCTTACACTACCCCCCCCCTCCTAAACGAGACCGCGGGCATCGGAAACATTCCGATGTGATAATATGCTATTAGAATTGGGTGTGATTCTAGCTCAGCGAGAGGCACCCAACTATCATCTTCTGACGTGCGATCACGCCTGCGGACGAGAAAATCCACCATCCAACGGTTCAGCTGTGTCGTGACCCGATGGCCGAGAATTTTAAAGGGCTCGGTCGTCGGTTCCTGCAGGGGCATCAGCTGCAGTACACTGCGTTGGCATACCAATTCCGACGAACTGGGGACATAGGGCCGTAGGAGGCTGACGTGGAAAGCCGGGTGGTGACACCAATCAGCCGGGAGTCGGAGGTGAGCAGTGACAGGTGTCACCATATTCGTCACTTGAAAGGGCCCACAGAATCTGAGACGGAGCTTGCTCGGGATCGGCAGACGCAAATTGCGACTGTCGAGTAGTACGAGATCTCCCACTTTGTAAGTGACGTCACGTCGATGACGATTGGCTTGTCGGCTTGCGACCAGGTTGGCTTTCTTGATTGCCTCAGCTGCGTTTTCTCGGGCGGCGAGAATGTCTTCAGCAGATTTCTAGGACCGGGGCACGGGTGTCTTGATATTCGGGGTAGAGGGTACCATTGGGTCCTGTCCGTAGTTGAGGAAAAATGGGGACTGATGGGTTGTGGCGGAGGGCGCGTTATTATACGCGAATTCCAGCAGCGGAAGGGATTTCTCCCATGTTTGTGGGTCAGTGCAGGTAGTTCGAATGAGTTGCTTCATAGTTTGGTTGACTCGTTCGGTCTGCCCGTCGGTCTGTGGGTGGTAGGCGGAGGAAAACTGTAGTTTGGTGCCGAATTGGCCCCACAGGTGGCGCCAGAAATTCGATGTGAATTTCGGGTCTCGGTCTGAAATAATGGCGGTAGGCAGTCTGTGCAGTCGAATGACGTTGGCGATGAATAGTTGGGCAGTTTGGTCAACTGTAATTATCTGTTGGCAGGCGATGAAGTGCGCCATTTTCGTGAGTCGGTCAACGACCACGAGGATGGCGTCGTTTCCGCAAGGACCGGCCGGAAGTCCTATCACGTAGTCCATCGTAATGTGTTGCC